TGCTCCTTGGAAGCCAGGATGGCCAAATTTCATCTCTCATTCTTTGGACATATTGTTAGGCGGGACCAGTCACTGGAGAAGTATAAACATGTTTATTAAGGTGGAGGGCCAGAGAAAAAGAGGAAAACCCCCAAAAGATGGATTGGTTAAGTGACAGCATCGATGGACTCAAGTGTGGTGACAGTAGTGAGGTTAGCCCAGGATCAGGCAGTGTTTCGTTCTGCTGTGCATAGGGTCACTATGAGTCCATAACGACTAGATGGCACCTAACAACAACAACAATCATGAGTAATTTGAATTTTAGTTATTAAGCCTATGATCATGTCTTTCAAATCTTGCAGTTGTAAGGAACTTTGGAGATTTGAAACTGAATGTAAACTATAATCCAGCCAGGAACTAATTTAGTACTAGTTACACAGTCATTCAAGGAGCTCTGGTAGCGTAGTGGTTATGAATCAGGCTGTGAACCTTAAGGTCAGCAGTTCGAAACTACCAGCAGTTCTGCAGGAGAAAGATGAGGCTATGAGTTGGGACAGACTCCACGGCACACAACAACAACAGCAACAACAACAACAACATTGTTACTCCTCACTAAGTCCTGCAAAGAAGCATTGGTGTCTTGCTAGCCAGTTGCTTTTAAATTCTGGTTTTGGTGTATTGAAGAGCCCTTCCAATCTAAGCTTTACTTTTCATCTATTTACTTGTTGGACTGGAAAGTCTATTTATAGAATAAAACTGGGTTTGGGGCAGCTAGGTTGGGAAGGTTGGAGCAGGCATTCTTGGAGGTGGTTCCTCTGTCCTGGTAACTACAGTCTAGCATGGGGCTTTGCAAATTTTCAGTTAAGGACAAGATGGTAAATATTTTCACCTTTATGGGCCATAGAGTCTCTGTTACACTACTCAGTTGTGCCACTGTAACATGAAAACAGCCATAGACAATATGTAAACAAATGAACAACATAATTGAGTTCCAATAAAACATTATTTATACAAACAGACAGTGGGCTGGATTGGGCCAGTGGACCTTGGTCTAAAAGTTAACTTTTCACATGGGAGCCTGGACAGACCATCTTATTTGAAAAGTAGAAGATCTCTGACCAAGTTTTCAATATTCTTCCTTTGAGATCTTTATTATCTGCAAGGCCATTCTCATCTCTTGAACCTAGAAAGGAACTCTGGTTGCTATTAGCAACCAGAACAATAAATCCCTTTCACTTTGTCCAGACCCAAATTGTCTGCTGGAGGATGGAGGAGAATGAGTGAGAGAAAGCGACTCTGGATGTTTGGAACTGGATGTAAAGAAGTGATGGAGGGGCATACAAGAGGGAGAATTAGCTGGTAAATATGGTAGCTTTTCGGTTTAGTATTGAGTTGATGCTATAGCCCGGCTTTATTGCTGCAGTATCATTCTGGAATGTCATTCATTTATTGGTGTGTGTGCATGTACATGTGTGCATGTTTTAAATTAATTATTTCTGATTTGAAATGTGTTTGAGGTTTAGTGTCTTAATAGGAAAATTTCTCAATTTACTTTTAATTTTGGAATTCTACCTTTTTTTTTTTTCCTTAACCAGAAAGAACTCCTCTGTGACCTAGTTGGGATTTCACCCTCCTCCAAGTGTGATGTGCTTAAAGAAGCTGTCTATAAGAAACTGGGCGGAGACAACACCCAGCTAGAGGCCGCTGAAGGGTAGGAATCCACTTAGAGTAACTTAGAGCAAAATGCACTGGAGCAATGATTATTTCATCCTTCCTAGCCAAGGAAAGGTGGAGAGAGCAACAGTGTAGATTTTTCTTTGATAATTTACTGCTTTAATGTTGATCCGTTTGGCGATATTACCACGTATCATGTTCATTTGGACGTAAGATGTAGATAAAAAGAGGAATTTACTGGTAGTTAAAATTTTGGGGGGAAAAAATTTGAAACACTATCACTCAGTTCCTGAGAAAGACAGTATACCTTTGTTTGCTTCTAGGACATTCAAGGAGCCTTGACACCATATTGGTTATGCACTTAAGTTGCACACCATAATGTCAGTGGTTAGAACCCATCAGTTGCCTAGTGGGAGGAAAATGTGACAGTGTGCTTCAATAGAGATTTCCAGCCCTCACAATCCTATTGGGCAGTTTGACTCTGTCCTATAGGATGGCTGCAAGTTGGTATTGATTCCACAGCAATGGGGTTGTTTTTTGTTTGTTTGGTTTGGGTTACAGGAAATTCAGGAGTCACTGGGTGGTACAATGTCGTAGTACTGTAAAATTAAACAAAATGTTGGTGATTCCAACCCACCCCCCTAGAAGTTCCTCAGAAGTTAGGTCTGGTGATTTGCTTCTGAAAGATGACAGCTCTTCTCTGTGCATATGGAATCACCAGGAGTTAGAATTGACTAGATAGCAGCTCTGGTAGCGTAGTGGTTACAAATCGGGCTGCGACCCTTAAGGTCAGCAGTTCAAAACTACCAACTGTTCCGTGGGAGAAAGATGAGGCTTTCTGCTCCCGTAAAGATTTACAGCCATGGAAACCCTGCACAGGGTCGCTGTGAGTCAGTTCTGACTCCACGGCACATAACCACCTCCACCAGACAGCAGCTAATACCAAGAACACAGGAGATTCTGAGTCTTCTCCAACTACTTTGAAACATTCTTTCACATGGCATGATAAAAACGGTTAACACAACAAGGCTTTGGTTCATTGTGCTGATATCTTTAATGTGAGATAACTAACTTTCAAATGAGCCTCACATAAAGATTTGCAACAACCCCACCTTACTGTGCTCAGCTCTGTTCCAGGCATCACTGCCTAGGAGAGGTCTGAAGTGATTCTAGAGGGTAAAGGAGTAGTATTGTTCTTGCTAATGTACAATTTTAGGAAGTCCTACAACTTGGATGATCATCTTGTGATTCTGTTCCTCGAAGATTAAATCCAAGGAGCTCCTTTCTGCTTTCTAAGCGAGAACACGCAGGGCTGGAACTAATACAGTCTTCTTTTGTGCTCCTCAGGTTGGGATTGCTTGGAGATGAACAAGTCCCTCGGGCAGAGTCCATTGTGGAAGCACTTTCCAAGCATTTGGCTATGAAGCTTTCCTATGGTATGCCATGGGGTATTAGCTAAACACCCCGAAGGAAGAGTCAGAAAATGCAGAGAATTAAATTGAAGGGCTAGAACCAAGTGGTAGGAATGGGGGAGGCATGGTATGTGTAAAAGGACACTTGGGTTATTTTTCCAGAGGAAAGAGTAAGAAAAGTATTATATGAATGAACTTGGGTGATGTGAGAAGGACAGAAAGAACACTGGTCTCATTTTACATTTTTAATGCTTTGGGAAATGTGGCAGGAAGTTTTTAGGGAGAACACACGTGTGTGAATTCTACAGCAGGTTCCTGGTGTTGGCAACCAGGTTATCTTGATGCCAAAGATCAAAGAGGAATGTGAGCAGAGTTCGAATCACCTTGAGTTTTTCCTTTTGTTTGCAGAATACCAAGCAATATAGACAATTGTCAAAGGGCTAAATCTAATGGGAAACATAAGAACAGAAGGAGATGAAATAGTTTTAACTGGAACGAAGCGACACTAAAAATGCCTCCTTATTTCTTTTAAGGCCCTGGAGAGAGAGATCTAATTGTGATGAGAGACAGCTTTGGAATCAGACATCCTTCTGGACATTTAGAGAACAAAACAATTGATCTTGTGGTTTATGGGGACGTCAATGGCTTCTCAGCCATGGCAAAAACTGTGGGGTTGCCCACTGCCATGGCAGCCAAGATGTTGCTTGATGGTAAGTTTTCTTCATTTAGGGACGCAGTCTGTCTCCTTATCAACTCCCGGTCATTTAATACCTGGACATCAAATACTATTCTTAAGCAGAGCACTGATGGCATTCACTATAAGTGATGGACCATCTCAGAAGACCCATGCGCTGGGAATTAACATTACCTCAGGGAGCGCGGTGGCTCCATATGGTAAGCACTGGACTGGGAACCACATGGTCTGTGATTCAAGCCTGCTAGCTGCTCCATGGGAAAAAAATTGAAGCCTTCTGCTCCCTTGAAGATTTAAAGCCTCGGAAACCCGACGGCACATAACAAAACCAACAAACATTACTTTTAAATGGAATATGCCAGTTAGCCCTTGTGAAACCAAGAGGAAGATGTTGTTGGTAAGTGCTGTCGAGATGGTTCCAACCCATAGTGACCCTGTATAGGGTTTCCAAGGAGCGGCTGGTGAGCTTGAACAGCCGACCTTGGGGCTCAAGCGATTTTGCAATCCAGCCCATTAACCCACAGCACCATACCAGGACTCTATTAGATATTAGCATCCAAATACTCAGATTGGCTTTTATTCATCCTGTTGGTGTTATGCCTTAAAAAAAAAAAAAAGACATCCACAAGCAAGGCAGATCAGTTTTGCTTTACTGTCTTACTTTATATTCGGATTGTGTTAGCAGTAGTTAGTGCAGTTAAGTGTACAAATTTTGCCACTAACACCAGCTGTGCTTTTGATCTCAAATCTATCCCTTTTCCATAGAGTGCTGATTAAATTTTAATTTAGCAGGAGGCATGGAAGCAGCTATTTTTAACTGCCTGGGCCTCCAGCAAGTCACTGACTCTGAGTTTGTTGCTGGGTGATGGCTTCTTCATGGAAACTCTCGCTGCAGAAATGCACTTTTAACACCGTCTTCAAAATGGGAATAACAGATTAATTTTCTTCCAGGTGAAATTCAAGCCAAAGGCCTGCTGGGGCCCTTTTCAAAGGGCATCTATGGACCAATACTGGAGCGAATTAAAGCAGAAGGCATCACGTATACAACACAGAGCACTTTCAAACCATGATTGGAAACCATATTGTATTTATCTTACAGACAACACAGCTCTGAACATTTGTGTGACAGATAGGCTTGCTAAAGTGCTGTCTAAAAGTATAAAGTACAATATATTTTGATTAAGTCAATATTGTGATGCTTTTAAAACAAAGTTTTATTTTAATATGAAAACATTTGGAAAAGAAGATACCAATAATTACCAGAGAACTTTAATAATTCTACCATGTATTTTTCACATGTACATAAAATTGATTATGCTGTTTGTTAATTTATTGTGTCACTGTGTTCTTACAAGCATATATATTTCTATAATCAGCAGATGAAGTTTAGCCATTTATTCAGAAAAATTTCCTCATGTAGCTAGCTGTATTTTTAGATTTTTCAAATGACTTCTGTTAGACACCTTCAGATTACCTACTTACAAACCTTTGCAATGTTGCTATTTTATGGGGTTTTTTGGTTTCTTTTTTTAAAATTATTTGTTTAGTAAATGTCACTCTTTGTAGTTTTCTCTTGGGTGTTTGGGAAAGGGAATAGGTAATGATGAAACTGCACACCACATGGTCCTTTCAAAAAATGGAGCAAAAGCATTTGGCAAAATTCAACTTCATTCATGATAAAAGGAGTCTTCAGGTAGTGTGAATGGTGAAGTACTTGACTTTTCATCCAAAAGTTGGTGGTTTGAATCTTCCCGGAGATGCTTCAGAAGAATGCCCTGCTGATCAGCTGCTGCCAGATGAGCAATCACAGTCCCTGGAAAGCAGGTAACCCAGGTCTCCTCTGAAACACATGAGTCTCCACGACATGGAGTCACCACGACATGGAGTCGACTGAATGGCAACTGGCTGAAAAGATTTTGTTCTGATAAAAGCACTGAAGAAATCAGGAGTAGAAGGCAACTAGAGGAAGTTGAGGAAGGTTGAGGAACCTCATAAAAATGATCTATAATAAATTCACAGCTACCAGCATCTGGTATAGTGCTGTGGGTTAATGCGTTGGACTGCAAGGTCAGTTTGAACCACGAGGTCAGTGGTTCAAGCTCACCAGCCACTCCTTGGAAACCCTATACAGGGGTCGCTACAAGTTGAAACCAACTCGACGGCACTTAACAACAGCAACAACTAACATCTTGGCAGACCAAATGGTAAACAACTCAATTAAGAAATGGGCAAATATGTTTCAGGTCACCTCATTTGATCTAGACCCTTCCAGGTTTCGGGAAGAAGTCTTAACAATGTGTGAGTCATTGTGTTTTATTGTCTCATTGTAAATAAACAATATTAGTACCTAAAAACAAAAAAAAAGACAAGAAATGGGCAAAATATCTGAATAGCCATATCTCAAAAAAAGATACGCAGATCATCAATAAGCACATAAAAAAGATTTTAACATCATTGACTATCAGGGAAAGTCAAAACAAACCCACAGTGAGATACCACTGTGAGATGCCAACTACAATGGTCATGTAGAAAGACAGATGATAAGTGTGGGTGAGGACGTGGAGAAACTGGAATGCTCAGATCCTACTGGCGGAAATGTAAAATGCTGAAAACAGTCTGGCAGTTTCTCAAAACATAGGCCTTTCACAGATTCCAGCAATTCTGTTTCTAGGAATATAACCCAACATGGAAAACACGTCCATACAACAAGTATACACAGCATATTCATAATAGCCCCAAAGTGGAATGACCATCAATGACTCAAAGGACTATCAACTAATAATTGGATATAAAAAATATAGCATAACAATGCAACAGAATATTATTTGACAATGAAAGGCTATGTGATCATTGTGATATAGCATTATGCTATATCAATGAAACTAGTCACACAAAAAGCACACATCGAATGATTTCATTTTTTTGCTTGAAGTTAATGTTAAAGTTCATTGAGATTTTTTTCAATCTTTTGGATACCTTTGAATTATTCCTCAAAGACCCATGCTGTCTAATCAAACCATGTATGTATCTGCTCCATAAAGAGACAAGCACCCGTTTTCATTTAGTTGGTTCTGATTCATGGTGCTCTCCAGAGCTGAAGAGTGAACTATGTTCCAAACTACTTTCAGTGGCTGATATTTGGGAATTAAATTACCAGGCCTTTCTTCCAACTACTTCATAATGAGTTGTTGTTAAGTGCTGTCGAGTTGATTCGGACTCATAGCAACACTGTATAGGGTTTTCAAGGAACAGCTGGTGAGTTTGAACTGCCAAGCTTGCCACAGGGTCTTAAAATAAATAAAGTGGTTTTGGTGGTGGTGCCATGGAATCTGTTCTGATTCATAGTGACCCTGTACAGGGTTTCTGAGGCTGTAAATCTTTTGGGAGCAGAAGGTCTTCTCTGATTGTTTTGAACTGCTGACCTTTAGAAGCCTAACTTTTTTTTTTTTTTTTAATTTATATTTATTTCAACTGGACAGCACATTATCTACAACAGCACCTTGGCATATGATGTTATTTCCCTGTCAACGAAGGGCATCATCTTAGGGCCAGAATTTCAGATACTACATCACTAACAAGCACTGTGACTTTGATGTGTGCTGAATTCTAACACTGGGGTCTTGAATGCATATTGTCTGAGATGAAATCTAGTTTGTTGGTTGAAGGTGGGTTTGCATGCAGAGTCAAGGGGGATATTGTTGAAGGATATGGGGAAAGGGAGATATGAAATTTCAGTGAAAATAGAGACAAAAGTCAGACTAACTAGGAGATTGCTACATGAATCAGTAATCTGATTGTGATACAGACAAGGAGGTGACCTGTGACAAAGTATGAATAAATGACTTTCATTCTCTACTCCTTTTGGAATGGATTATGAGAGGTTTTCACAGAGGAATTCATCTTTGTTCCTTTGCCTCATGCTTTATAGGTAACAAATGCCACATCCTTAACAGTGGCTGTGTCTATGACACAGCCCTGTAGTTGAAGCGCCTTTTCACAACATACGAACAGCAGGTATGGCAAGAATACTGGGACCTATTCTGATGGGGCAGGGGAAGATAGTTGAGGGTTTACACATAAGCCGTTGCATTTTCATTTTTTATAGTCATTGAGTTAATGATTGGAGTACTGGGATAAGAGTGCCTTATCAACCATTTCCCAGAAGGAAGAGAGCATTTGCAAACCCAGTGAAATTCACTGGTGTTAACTAATTGGGGTGTTTTCTGTAAAAGGAATGCATTGATATGGGGCCTCAACATAGGTTGTAGTCAGTCACTCGTTGATGCTGAATGTTTGATCACATCAGTGGGCTTTTCCATAGCTGGTATCCAGTCTTCACCCCTGCATAAGGTGATGGATGTCTAAGTCTACATTAATCACATGCGACTACGCTATTTATTTATTTATTTATTATGATAATAGGCACATGCAATTAGTCAACAGCCTATATCCCAAACTACACTTCCATTGGGTCCACAACTTTTCCTAGAAAAAGAATGCTCCTGGTGCTTTTCTCCAAAATTAACAGCAAGAAAGATCTATTAAATTAGATGATAGGGTGAAGGAGAGTCATCTCAGGTTGGTCCAGAGATCTGTCTTTGGGGACAATTACATCTTCTGTTCCCTTTTCACCAATGTTCAGCACTGCATTGTGAGCAGCATTGGAAAGTTTCAGGCCACTGCCTTCTGCAAGTCCAGAAAAATCAGCATGATCAGCAAAGGCATCTTGGATGTCCATTTTCAGAAGAGTAGTTCCAAGGTCGTATGTGGCAGAAATGGAAAATTTTGGAACAAATAAGTCAACCCATCCCTTCTGAAGTAAGCGGTTCCACTTCTTCAGTGTTTTAGATGACATGGATCCTTCCAACCACTCCATCTAACCCTCCTTGGGAAGGACAAAAAGTGCAAGACTTTTCTCACTGAAGTCCATTTGCAGCACTGTGCAGTTAAGCTCCGTATCCACTAGATGATAGTATTGTTCTATTTGGTGCATCATGGACACTTGCACTGTGGTGATCTTGTCCACTAAGAAGCTGGAACCCTCTTCTATTTTGGATGGATCAAAAGGATTTGCCCACTGGGCTTTAAAGAAAATATAATTCACAAGGACCATGATGGTGTTTGGTTTGAGGTCTTGGATAAGGCTCATAACTTTCCCTTTGGTTTGCTTCTCCATGTGACTATTTATCTTCTGCTTGGCTGCAGAAACATTGGAGAAGTCAGTAGATAAGACTTCAGTCTCATAAAGGCTCTTGACATCATCCAAGAATTTTGCCAGTGGTTTCAGCTGCTTCCCAATGAAGAATCTATTTCCCATATGCAATTCCAGCTCCTTCTTTGAAAAATTCAGTGTATAGAAGAGGTACTGGAAGCCCTGCTGAATCTCAGCCATTGGAATAACTGTGAGGTGGAAGCCCAAGCTTTCCAGGATTTGTGTTTGAGTGGTTGAGGCCCCAAAGGATAGCATGGCCAAATCAGGAGAAATTTTCACAGGGGAAAAGAAGATGTTCTGATTTGGGGTTTCCACCATGAACTTCCGGTACAAGTTGAATGCAAAGTCGGCATTGATGGATGCCATTTTGTAGAGCGTGACACTTGGTTGGGGGGAATGAGATTTTTTTCTTTGGAGGCTTGATGTAAATTTGGCACAGTTTAGTAAAGCGCAAACAGCTCTTGCTACTTTTTTCACCTCTCCATTTTATGGCATCTATTTCATCTTTATGTGTTCTTTTCTACCCAGCTTTGTTGTTATATGTGATGGAGTGGATTCCCGCTCACATTGACTCTACATGACAAAATAGAACTGCCCCACGAGATTTCTATGGCAAATGACAATCTTTAAGAGAGTAGACCATTAGGTCTTCCCATGCCCCCAACTCCTTCCCCACCCCCCGCAGAGCCACCCAACTCATTTTTAAAGGTGGAAATAACTGCAGTAATCATTTGACCAAACCTCTGATTTTACAGAAGAAAAAATGTATCTCACAAAGTTAAGAGACTTAACCCCCTTCCAAGACTGAAACTTAAAGGTACCACACAAACAGACATGTAAGCTTGCTGGCCACCATGTTGGTGTACTGGTGAGTGGAAGTGGGGGGAAAGCAGCAATGAAGATATGGGCTGAATTCGACCATGTTCCATAGACTTCCATCGACCTGGAGATGAGCGAGAAAAGAGGAAGGGCTGGTTGGTCTGACGTATGGTGAGATCTGGGGACTCCTGAGCCCATGGACAAGGACATAGCCACAGAGGGCTAGAGCTGAGAATGAAACATCTATCTGACATGAAGTGAGGGGAGAAGCACAAGAATGTC